GGGTTTAAGGGTTTTTTTCCCACCCGCCCAGGTTTAAGGGTTTAGGGGTTAGGGTTTAGGGTTTAGGGTTTAGGGTCTAGGGTTTAGGGTTTAGGGTTTATAGGGTGTAGGGTTTAGGGGTTTAGGGTTTTAAGGGGGTTGGGGGAAAAGGGTTGTTCTTCCTTTGGGTACTAGAATAGGGTCCCCATTCAGTACCTTAAGGATTTTTCTTTAAGGGCTCTTGCGCGGAAAGAAAACGGGGTTTAGCGGTTTTTGGGTTTCGGGCAGCACCGGGGACCTTACATGGTGCTTCATAAATGGGTAGTTAGGGTCTTGACAAGAGTGGCTTCGGCAGTTCTGGTCTAGAGTCTAGGATTGCACAGATATCAGTTCTTTTCTTCAAGCATGCAGTTGAGGGTTTGCGGTTCATGGTTCATGCAGGCGCGGAATTGCTTCCAAGATAGAGAGGGATCACGATAGATGAGGTTTCGAGTTTGTAGTGAGATTCAGCATCCAAAATCGGCTTTGTGAGGTCTGGACGAAAGCTAAAAGTTCCGCACTGCAACACCGGCAGTAGTTTTGAACCACAACCCCAGTCAGGTCCATAAACCCCAAAAGCCACAAAGCCCGATTCCCACTCCCATAAACCTCTGAAATGCACCAGCCCTGATGCATTCGAAGTCTGAGGCCCCTGCCGTGTCCGGTCTTGCGTCGCCATCAATGCCGAGGCCGTTTCTGGGCGCAGGCCGGTACAAGGCTTTGGGGTAACCCTAAACCCTAAACCCTAAACCCTAAACCCCAAATCCTAAGACAGTACTCTTGTCGCAGCAAAAGGGATCCTGGAGATTTGTGGCTTCGGTGTCGTCGCAGGGCGTCGTGTCTGGAGATCGCAAGGACTGCTTTTCGAATCATACCCTGGCAGGATGATAAAGTCAAAAGCGAAGCTTTGCAAAAGGCTCAGTGGCTTCGGAGATACGCTAGGGTAAGGCGGTTTGCATTCGAGTTACAGGCCTGGAACACTGGAGTAGTAATCACATGCTTGGGTCCATACACTGTGCAGCTGTGCCCTACAGGGCCTTCAATCGCTTCAATGCTACAATATCTCCGAAGGAAAGGCAACTAGCGACTCCTCACCTCCGAGAAGAACGTAGATTGACGTCACGAAGCCAAAGCGAGCTGTACATAACTTATTTAGCTACTTAAAGCTTTCATATCACGACTCAAACCTCCAACTTGTCGTCAAAGAACATCCAGAATACTGCAAGCGGCTTGAACCAGAAACCCAAATCTCTCGAACCCTTGCAACAACCTCATACCCTGTTGCAGCTGGGACTCCTGCCCAGGCAAACAAAATGGTCGTTCTCTAAGTTAGGGTCCCTTTTGGGGTCCTTTTCATAAGAGTGCCGTACTATATTGGGGACCTGAAAAAGGACCCTAATTTAGCAAACTACCTAAAAACAACAGTTCTGAAGATTTGGGATTGGTTTGGGGTTCTCCTCGCATCCAGCACCGGGGCGCCGCACTGCTGGGCCCAGACTCCTTGTGGCAGGAGAAGCCCCGCCTGAGTAGAGAGACGCTGGGACAGGAGAAGTAGGACGGGAGGATAGGAGTCTACCCCTAGGCCCCATAGTAGCTCCCTTTTTGTGGCTTAGATTTAGGATCCTATTATGGAATCGCAAAAAGGAACTACTATGGGGCCTTTGGGTACAGTAACAAAACTCGTTTGCCGCATGCATCTTCGCATGTCAGGCAGTGGTACACCAAGCAACGTTGCAAGCTGCGCGTGGATGTCGAACGCCGATGCTTATAGGCTCCACAACGCACTAGACTGAGCGAAATGCGGATCTTGTTTCGTAAGTTCGACGGCATGAACATTTGTGAACATACTCAAACAAGACTGGATTCGAAATTGAAGCGAAAACGGAGACGGAAGAGATCCCACCAGCCCTACCAAACCTCGTAGAGTGTTCTGCAGCTCTGCACTCTACCCAAAGAAGGGTAAGTGATTTGAAGCAGGGCCTGCAATAGCTAGCCAACGCTCGTCGCACGAATTCAGATCCCGGCATACGCATGTAACCTCCGCTTTATGTTTTCCCTCTCCGCTTTATATTCGGACGAGGGCTTTGGGACGTCTCACTTAGGTCGCAAAACTTCAGATAGGCCCCAAAAAAGGATGCGAAGACCGCGGCCCTCAGCCTTACGTAGCTGCAAAGCTGGCTTCTCCGCAGCACATAAAGAAAAACAAGTTCCAGAGAGTACTCTTTCACTGTCCTTGGATCCTATAGGGCAGCGGCTATACCTGTGAAACTCGAAAGCCCGGAACTACGAAGCGAGCCTGAACCCCCACACCACGCTCAAAAATTAGATGTTCGAGTCCGAACCGTGACAGTCCTAGAGGCCCTAGACCATAAGAGCTCCATGCCCTTCCTCCACCTAAACCCTGCAACCATAAACTGCCCAACACCTCCAAGAAAGCTTTCCTTATCCCCACCATCCCCACCATCAAAGCTGCCACCATAAACTGCCCAACACCTATAAGAAAGCTTTTCTTAATCTCCACCATAAAAGCTGCTGCCCAACACCTTCAAGAAAGCTTTTCTTAATCCTCACCATAAAAGCTGCTGCCCAACACC